AAAAAAAAAAAAAAAAAAAACCCCGCCCCCCTTTTTTACCAGGGGGACTCGATTTCCACAGCCTGCCCGGGCGGGTGGTGCCGGGTAAGACCCCCTCCCCCTCAAGCAGGCTTCTCCCTCGGCAGGGAAAGCGAAGACGCCGAAGAGGGGCGAGGATTTGCCTTCGCTGGAGTGGCAGGACGGAGGAGCGTTATGCCCAGGACCCCCTCGCTCTTCTGCCCTTCTGCCACCCCTTCCCACCCAACCGTGTGCCTGAAAGTCTCTCCCTCTGGAACTTCACTGTAATATACTTTGTTTTTCGGTTCGCCAACCAACGCCAAGGAAACCTTGGGGAGGAGACCGGGCCCGCGTGGGGAGGGGGCTGCTGCTGGGCCCCCTCCCGCTGCAATCCACACAGCTAGGAGGCCAGGAGGATCATAAGGAAGAAAGCCACAGCCACAGCCAAGGGCAAGTGTTCCCGTTTCGGACTGGTCCCGCTTATACTTTTTTCCAGCTTGGGCATCTCTGGGTTAAAATTATCTGCGGGGGGGGGGAGAAAAAGAGAAGGAGAGAGAATGAAAAGGGGGGGACAGATCGGAGCCAGAAGGGTAGGGCATGCCCCCTTCCCCCAATCAATCCTGCTCAAAACGCCACGCTTTTCTCGGACCCCCGGTGCGCCGTGCAGGGCGAGCGGTGCTCAGGACGACGCAGGATTTGGGGGAATCCTTAGCCTCTTCCTGCAAGAGGCTTTACAACCCCCAGGGAGGCGGGAGGCTGTGTTTCGGAGAGGGGCCCCGGCCCCTCAACCCTCCTTCCCCTGCCAAAGGTACGCGGACACTCACCCAAATCCTCGATCTTCACTTCCGGCCCGATGGTGAAGTGTGGGAGAGTTGGAACGGCCACCCTGTCCCCTGAAAACGATGCTGTGGGCAGGAGAGGGGGGAAGGAATTACCTCTGGGGTGGGACGGGGCTCTGGAAAGGACTGGGCTGCCCCCCTGCAAGGTTTTCGCTGCCCCCCCAGGCCCCAACTACAGGCTTTTGGGGGGGCCTGGTAGTTCGACGACGTACAACGTCAACTCTGCACCTGGATTTCACCTGGCGGGGAAGCCCAACTTAGGGAGAAACTTCCTGCAAGGACAAATCACCTCCAGGTGCAGGTCTTGAGGTTCAGAGGCTGCATTTTAATAAGGGGGGGGGATCTCAGCCCTCATGAGGACTAGTGGCGTGATTTCGAAAAGGATGAAAGCAGTTCAGAATTTCTCAGGGCCACACCCCGGAGCAGGGGCATCCTGTGTGAATCCCACAGGAGTTTTTTTTCTGGACAGAAGGAAGAGGGAACACCCACGGGGGGTGCGGGGAGGACGGGCCAAGGGCAACGAAGGGGCTTGACGCACAACGGTTTGCACGAGAGCCCGGAAAGGTGCAAAGGGGAAAGGAGGAGGGCACTCACGGGAACGGCAGCAGACGAAAACCTTCATGCGCAAGCAGGACCGGCGATGGTTGTGCGTCGGGGTGGCTGAAAAAGAGCAGGAACTCAGCTGGAGGAGGTCACCCTGGCCCGTTTCATTGCTCCTGGCCCAGCCTTCGCTTGGCAGGGGGAAGATTTCATCCCCAAAGCAAACCCGGGGCAGAATTAGGTGGGAGGCATCAGTGGCGTGACTCAGTCTGGGGCAACCGCCTATCGTCTCCTTTAAGCATCAGTCTTTTGCTTAGAACCATGAGGACTAGAACCTTCCTTCCTTCCTTCCTTCCTTCCTTCCTTCCTTCCTTCCTT